CTGTCATGGTACCAGCACCCTATTTTTCCATTCTTCCTACATAATCCTAAGATATCCTAACTACCCTGTAGGTAGCTTTCAAAGCCCAAGGCTCTCCAACGTCAACTCCGAGCTTTGCAGGACTTCCGCTCGAACTGCAGCCAGCCTCTCCACCTGATCTGGAGGTTTGTCAAAACATGAGGTCTTTGCTTACGAGGGGTTGGCAGGGAATAAGGGAATCTATTGTATTAGCTCCTGTCTAAACTCAGAGTATCTCCCCCAGTAACACCTACAATACTCCCCTATAATATAATCCCTATACAACCCCCTTGGAAGAGTACAGACTATAGCTCATATAGGGATTCTATAGGGATTACATTCCCTAATTCCCTGCTTACCGCCAGTGAGTTCGAAGGCCCTGGGAAATTTTGATGGGGAGTACAAGGGATAATAATGCCTTCCGTGGCAAAGAATGCATCAGCACGCATTGTCACTCCAGAAGACAAAGAGCTCACCCAAATGGGGATTCCAAAAATTAGGGTACCTTACTGGGGTCCCTATAATTTAATCAGGATCATAGTATTTTAGCGTCTATAACGGGGCCCCCCTATTTGGGAATTACTAACGAGGCAAATCTATTTCCCACCTCTGCCAGCGAATCTTCCGGCAAGATCAGGCCTGGCCGCACTCCATGCACTGGAAACCTTGTAATGGCTACGCATCCTGCCTGTGGCAGGAGATGCAGGGAATGTTTGTTCTGGACTATGCAAGTGGCGCGGGGAAAGTCAGGCCGCCTCTGCTCTGAAAAGGATAGTGATACTGGACCCCTTCCTCCTCTGACAAGAATGCAGAACAGGTTCTGAGGAGTCTCCAGATGCTGCATGGTCGACCAATCACAGGAAGTAGAGTGGCTGGCTGATGGGATGCTGTTCAGGAACCTTCTGCAAGTTACTTGTGGATATATAATGTTGACGAAGTGATGGGGCTTCCTCATAATGGAAACTTACTTTAAGTTCCTTGCAGGAGGCAGACGAAGTCTGAAAGGTCCAAAGCCTAATTACTTTGGGCGGTGTCAAGCTGAAGCCTTGAACCACGAGCCCCCGGAAAATCCTAGCCCCCGAAAAATGCCAATACCCAAGGCCTAAACCCCTGTAAAATCGAACCCCTGTGTAATCCCTCTTCCGGGGCCATCTGATTTCCATGTTCATTTCCACTTGACTCTCCATCCTACAAATACTAACTTAGCATGCCCTGGGGAAGCCCAAATGGGACCCACAGTAAAGCCTAAACCCCAAACCCTAAAACCCTACTCTAAAACCTAAACCCTGAAACCCTACACCCAAAGTCCTCACCTGAGAGCATTGGAGCCAGCTGTTGGACGTACTCGCTGCAGGAGAGAAGCTTTTCACCCTGCCAAGGGGCCAGTCACCCAGAATTAGGGTTTTTTTCTCCGAATTAGGATTAGGGCTTAAGGTTTTTTTACAAAGTGGCCTTGGAGGGTGTAGGGTTCCGCACTTTAAGGCTTGTGAGCTAGGGGCCATTCAGAGGACGACAGAATGCAGTACCACTGTTGCACAAGTTCTTGGAGGTACTGCAGGATACGGGAACGACGTAGGTCGGCTGAAAACGTATTCCGAGCTACGAAGGTTTTATGTTCTAGCCGATTCTGGCCCACTTTCTGAAGGAAGGGCCGCACATATGTACCCAAAGAGCTCAAGATCTTAGATTAAGTCAGTTTGGGGTTCTAGGTTGTTGGTGTTGATATGTCCGTCTGGACGCGGGCACTACCAACACATTACGCGTATGGGCATGCCCTCGCATAAGCCTCCTTACACTATGACCCTGTGCATTGGAGTACGATCCAAATGCAGCCCAAGCTCAGGGAACTTGACCTAAATGCATTTATTGCTGATCCTAAATGCCGCAACCCTCCGACACCAAACGAATTGAGATAGATGTGTAATGATTTGTAGATCCTGCCTACATGCAGATAGATCTATCTCTGAGGGCTGCGCCCTAGGAGGATGATGAGCCATCTTCGGCATGGGTGCAAACTCCGGATTCCTGGGTCACTCAAAGCACATCTTAGCACATAGGGTTTAGGGTTGGGGTTTAGGGTTTAGTTAGGTTGGCCCCGCCCCCACACAGTGATGCTGCTCATAAGGCGTAAGGGCAAGTACATGGGGTTTCCTATATGGAACTGTTGTAGCACTATCAGTGTGCAGGGCTAATCCAATTCATATGGCACAATTCTGGGACAGGAGCTTTTTCTCACGACTTTGGCGTGCATTTCTGGTTGGGATCGCAAGGCGTTGATGCTGCAGAACTTTTGTGTTTCAGGATTAGGGGCTTTGCCCATTTTGGGTTGCGAGGCGAAGAACTTGGCAGGGCCTCTGTGGGTTGGCCCGTCTTCCCGCATGAGTACTGGATCTTCCACAGGGTAGCTGCCAAACTGCTGCAAACCAAACCTCCAAACCAAGCATGCTTAGCAAGTGGGAACTTGAAAGCCTAAACCCCACAAAAAAGCCCCAGGCCTTTGACCTAATCCAAACCCCCTAAAGAGCTGAGTTCTCCAAACCCTAACCCTCAACAGCAGTTACCGTTTTCCCTTCCATTCACCTATATAGTCGTATATGACCCCGTATAACCCCATAAAAAGTAGTTGACATTCCTTTCCATTATCCCAAGTTTAGCTGTAGTCAGTAGTCCAAAGTCTTGGTATCCCGCTTATAGCCCCTATAATACTCCCCTTATAAATAAGGAATCCCCTATAGAACCCCCTTTAAGGAGTTTAGACTATAGCTCATATACTCCAAAACCCTTCAGCCCTTTCGGCCGCGGCGCGCGTAGATCTGCGGATCCAGTGCAGCGCGTCTGCTGAGAATAGCTTTCAGCTTCAGCGCTTGGCTCCCTACCTGGAAATTCAGACGCTTTCAGACTCCTTGAGGTTTCTAGCGCTTAGGGATTAGAGGGTTAAGGATTATAGGTTTGAGGGTTAGGGTTTAGGGCTTAGATTTGTCAAGTGCAAGTTTGGAGCTTGATGATGCATTGCAACATCTCGAGTTGAAGGTTACTAGGGAGTAGAAGAACCTTTAAGGAGGCAGAGATGGGGGACGCTTTGTCAAGAAGACTTGGGGCGCCAGATATGGAAGATCCCAGTTCTTGCGCAAGGTGGGCCTCTGGGAAATAGCTGCTTCCCAGATTAAAGTGACCCCTAAAACACTAAAACCCTAAACCCTAAACCCAACTCTAAAACCCAAAAACCCTAAAACTCTAAAAGCCCAAAACTCTGAACACTTTCCAGGGTTGCTTCCATCAGGCTTTTTGAGTTGAAGCGTGCAAAGCTGTCCTGGCCTGTGATCAAACCATACTTGCGTCATTCTCAAAAATTACTGGATTGCTGTTAAGGAATTTAATTCAAGTTACCATAATGGGTATAAATATGTATATACATATAGAGTACATGATACGGTCTCCAATCTAATAACTTAAATTAAGGTCCTTAACAGCAACACAGATTATTGGCCTCTTTTGCGTCTAGATTATGTTACAGCACCTAATATCTAGGCGTACCCAAAACAGGGCCCCTAATTTTGGGAGCTGCCCGCTCAGCCATGCTCCTCCCCCTGCAGGTCAGACGGGTGTCTCGCGGAGGGTCTATCAGCGTCACCTGACCTTAAACCCAGCACTTTCCAATCCCAAACCTCCACACCCAGGCAGCACGGGGCTTGAAATACCTGCATGGCAATTCTGACCCTCATTTGAGCAATAGTCCCCTTTAATAACCCCTGTAGTCGTCCCCTATAGAATCCTTTAAGGACCACCCTTAAAGGAATTCAAGCTATAGCTCATTTAACCGGATACTACTGCAAAGCGAGGCGCAGAGCTAGAGGAGATTGAGTCAGCACTTGCCAGGATGTCCTCGACAAAGGCCCAATCGTCTCTGAATAAGGGTTCAGACTTTAGGGTTTAGAGTCTAGGGTTTAGGGTAATAATTAACAAAGATCTCAGACCATCTCAGGCTTTGAACAGCTGGGGGCCCACCATGCTACACTTTATGTTTGTTGAAGCTAATTCTCTGCCGGATCTCTACAGGAACCTGGCAAACGTTGCTCCAGTAACTTGTAGGCCTTTTCTTGCAACACACCCTACCTCTTACAGCAACATCTTGCGTACCCTAAGGTCCCAGACCTAAAGCCGAAGCTATCGGAAGTACAATAAGAGTTCCGCCCCCTCCCACATTCCCCCAACTGCAGCCCTCAGTTTACTGGCTTGTTTGTTGCATGGCACTGGTCGATCTGGAGTCTAGAATCTAGAGGAGCTGAAAAGCATACTGGACTCTTTGTTAGTTGTTGATGGCGGGTTCGCTCATGGCTTCTGAAAGGCTTAGGGTTACTCATGAAGCTTGTATAGAGGCATGGAAAAGAAAACGAGAACTGCTATGTATCAGTTGCTTTGAAGTCACACAGCTGTCGACCCTAAAGCCTGAACTATCTCAGGCCAGTTCGTGCGGAGCTTAACGACCAGAAAGACAATGCATGGATGGGTGGTAATGGAAGCTGCAAATACATGTGTATCTTGTGGGGGACCACGGAGAGAGAGGGAGAGAGAGAGAGAGAGAGAGAGATATATATATATATGCTACCCCCCCCCTCAAAACCTACCTTTTATTAGACAATAATGGCCTGCGCACTAG